TCACAGGAATATAGAATTTATATAATGAATTCTATAATCGTGGATAAAAGATAGGTAGGGTTAAATATACATATTTACAACAACAATAATTAAAAGTGATATTTTTTTGAATATATGGTCAAAAATGCAGAACAGTCAATGAATGAAAAAATAAAATATATGTTTTAAAAAAAAAAAAAAATATTTGTATTTTAGATTATATAATATATATATATGCATTATAAACAGATTTATGTATTATAAAATCACCATTTGTATTTTAATACATTGTGTGACTTCACTGCTCTCTTTGATGTGAGAAATAAATAAATTATTCTGGAGGCTACATAAAGTAGACTTATCTCATTATTCCCTTATATAAATTTGTAGGATGGTTGAAACACGCTCTGGTAAGATACAAGACCCAGCACAGGAGAGAATCATGGTTGAAGAGTCTGCCAAGCTGGTGCAACAATACACACACAAACGTTTCATTAATATTATTGTTACCCAACGTTCCTGCAATTCTGTCACTTTTATCAAAGTCACAGAGTCAAGATTAATCGAAATGTTTGATTAATAAAATAGAACTTAGCTGATTTAGTATTCATTCTATCTACCTACAAATAAATATTATGATAAATTACAAATATTCTATATACAGTTACGAGCGTCATTCCTCATCAACTCTGTCACCGTTTGCTTTTTTTTTTTAATGGCGCCCTCCCATTGGTTGGCTACGATCACGCCACCTTTGATCCCCCCCATCATGCCACCCCCACTCGCTTTATCGTTTTTGTAACTATTGTGTTGGAGCGGGTCGCTCCTTAAATAAATGCATATATTAGTTAATAACTAAATGGAATCCTCTCTTTCTTTTTCCCAGTATGAGACGCCTACGGAAGCCAACAGTACATAGACAGATAAAGCACATAGGCTATAGGTATTAACTAATATATGCATTTATTTAAGGCGCCAATTTATAATTGTAACAAATAGTATTTGAATCAAAACATTCAATCGGGTAAAACACGGGCGTTGCTCGGATCATTCGGCTAGTAAAATATATTTATAACATGTTTGAGAACAGGTTAAATCAACGTTTAGTTAATTTCTGTTCCACTAGATGGCGCTCCTAGATGGAGTCTCCTGATAGTGGTTCTTATTTTTATAAGGATTTAGAATATGATCTTCTTCCCTAATCGTTGAACATGGATTGCATGGATGATATGGTCTGCATGCCTTTCATCCTTTTAGGATGTCTAGGAGCCTGGCAGGGCTGATTTAATCGGACCCGATGTTGGAGCTCTGTTAGAAGTTCATGTGAGCGCGGTCAGGTTATACCATTTTGATTTTAATATATCTATGTGTTTAAAAATAAAGAGAGCATATTCTGACCACGAGCACATGTGCTTTTTAGATGCTCTTGGTCAGAATTTGCTCTCTCTATTTTTAATCAAACACCTGACCCACTTATCTTTTTTTTTCTATTGTTTTTCCATTTATGTGTTTGTGAAAAAAAATAGGTATATGCCGAGATTTGAACCTGAAACCCCTCCGACACACACATATATTCCTGCACTCCATATACAACAAGAATAATGTGGTCAGGATGGATATCATACTCGCGGTCTATTACGAAGAAAAAACGGAGCACCTCCTCGGGCTACTCACGCCTGAAGACAAGATTCTTCTCAACAAATTCTTCGACATTATCATCAAACATGTTCCGAACATGAACTCCTCAAATGGCAGGGATCTGTCTAGATTCAAGGCGGCTTTAAGCTCCTGATCCGGAAGTGCCCTCGGAGAGGGCTACGTGGATTGTATATATATATCTCTTCATTCCTACCATTATTATTACCTTATAACTCCCTTTGAGTGTAAAGATTGACGTGATGTCAATAAAGTTGTTTAAATGTCAAAAAAAAAATTGTCACACAAATACCCGATGCAAAATCCATAACCCAAGACTTAGCGAGCCATTATGTCAAATCATTTCGCAAAATGAATAAATTTGAAACATAAATATAAAAATATAATATTTTGTTTAGCATACATTTTTATAATTCCTAAGAGAGAGAGAGTATATAATATTTACTTATATAATATTAAAAAACGAAGAGAGTTTATCTTGGTTTGACAAAAAGACAGAGTTTGACCCCTTAGTTATTTTTTTCCAAGTCATAAACTACGCCAGTTGCCATAATGACAGTTGTAAACTTCTGTGAAATGGTACCCTGGGGTTTTCTATTTCTAGAAGTTCCAATGTGTGGGTTTTTAGGAAACTGGATTATAATTACACCAGTTGTCATAAATTGGGATATATCTGGTAAATTTGTAGTTCTTTATATTCCTATCTTTTTTTATCGATTATTGCATTTCTCTATATATATAAAAGTCAATGTCTGTCTGTCTGTTTCGCGATAAACTCAAAAACTACTGAACCAATTGGTTCCAAATTTTGCATGTCGCTTTTTATAAACCTGAGAAAAATTTTCGTCTGCATTTTTTTTTTATTAGTATTTTTGGCTATTTCTTTTTTTTTTTTTTTTTCATTTGAAAAACCTTTTTTTACGCGGACTAATCCGGAATGGAATGAATACCTAAATATGTTTTTTTTTAAGCATCGGTGGTTCAGTGGTAGAATGCTCGCCTGCCACGCGGGCGGCCCGGGTTCGATTCCCGGCCGATGCATTTTTTAAAACAATTTTTAAAACTCATTTATTTTATATATAATATAGATATATATTATTATATCAACTATATTAATTAAATCAAATACCTAAACACTAATATAATACAATTTTTGCCATCACACACATTTTTTCCTTTAGTTTATGTGTTACTTCTGTATTGCTATTCTATGGCACTTCTAATATTTATTATTGATATACTTTTAGTATGAAGGAAATTGCACCCAAGGGATTTCTCGGGCGAAGCCGGGTCATTCGCCTAGTATTACATATAAACGATTTCTTTAATTTATTCACTCATGCTTATCTCTACCATTTTACAGCCAAGATCTGAAAATACCTAGTGAATGGGCAGTTTTTAGTCCACAAACGACTCATTCAAACATAAGTTTACTTTGCTGTCTGTAGGCACTTTTTAACACCTTGTTCTTCAACAGTCGATTATTGTTGATTGTCACAACCATTTTTTAAACTATGCTCTTTGTTCGAAGGCTTATGTTTAAATAACTCGTTTTTCAAAGAATATAGTTTAGTATTGTCTTTATAACGTGGCCATTATATAATTGTCCTAACAGTTGAAACTTTTTATCATACAACTGTGGAAATAAACCATTAAGCACACACCCATGCTTATACGATTATCTTTTTAAAAATTGTACGAAGGAATATCGTAGTAAATGCTTAATACGAAACTATTATAGACGCGTATGATTCTTTTAAAAATTAAACAATTTACCCTGCCCTTACAGTAATAGAAAAATTAATGGAAGGGCCTGGCTCAACAGTGATGAACCCCTCCCAGCGGTTTTGTCAGTTTAATCTACCATACCGCTGTTATATTACATTTTTCTATCTACCTTTTATAGTGATACTGATACTAGACTCTTGGAATGGGTATTTTAGATGAACTATGGATATAAGCTTTGAGTACAGCAGAATTACATAAACATATAAAAATATTTTCTTTTAGAAGATATCAGGATTTTTATCATTTTAATCAGCATAATTATAAAGCAAATTGTGATTGAAAGATTTATTTTCATTATTACCACGAATGCAATATCATAAAATACTTATATACTGCAAATCAAAACCATAAATTCCCATTCATTCAAAAGAAGAAGCAAATAATTCCTCTTATCTAAAAATATTTTATATAACACTAAGTCGACAAAATCTTTATTATAATATTGTTATGAAAAAAGGCATCTCCTTATCGTGTAACTGAAAGTTGCTGATGGCTTGCGCCATCTATCGGAATAAATATAAACTATTCTCGTTGATTTTTAATTATTCCAGAATTGGCCAAATACCCATTCTTGATTAATCAAGGAAAGCTAACCACGGACGCGTTTCGGGCTGTTAGCCTGTATATATAATATTTATATGAAAACTTTGAACTATTTTAGACACGTATGATTCTTTTAAAAACTAAACAATTTATCCAGCCCTTACTGTAATGATAAAATAATGGGAGGGCCTGGCTCATCAGTGATAAACCCTACCAGCGGTTTGACCAGTTTAATCTACCATACCGCTAAAATATTGCATTTTTCGATTTTCCTTTTATAGTGATACTGAAGCTAGACTCTTTGAATGGGTATTTTAAGCGAACTATGGACAGCTGGGAGGGTTCAATGGTGATGAGCCAGGCCCTCCCATTATTTTATCATTATAGTAAGGGCAGTAGAAAATTGATTTATTATTATCATTTTTTTATTATTATTTTTTTGCTTATCCCTAGTACACGTGGTACAGGCCATGATAATCATGGTGGGTAGTTAGCGACTGCTTTTTACTGTAAGCGCACCACATGTCTACACATGTGAAAAGCAGTTCGACTTTGCACTTACAAATGCCAGAGCCCCGTTTGGTTACTTGCACTCGCTGGTGGGGGTTGGACTTTTGCAAGAATCGGGGGCCATTGGAGATTTTTTTTTATTTTTAAACAGAAAAAAGTGTCCAATGCGGGAATCGAACCCGGGTCCTAGTGGTCGAAAACCAAACGCGAATCATAGTTCGAATTTTTCATAACAGATGGCGTGCTAATACATCATAATATTTATATGTTAAATATAAATTTGATATTTATGATGTGCTATGTTGTGATGGAGGAATAGAAAAGTGAAATTGACCGCTAGACGTCGCCACTTTACACTATGCAAATCTATTGTTGTTGTTTTCCTTTGTCGGACACAAAACCTTTTGTAAATATGTAAATATATAATCAAAATTCTTTCTTCTTCACGTCTCAAGTGTGATGTTTCTTTCTCAAATGTTTTATATATTTAAAAAATGAAATAATTTATTGTAAATATTAATCAAATCCATGTTGGTCGATGGAAGAATGGTCTAAAACATTGGTTTTCGACCGCTACGACCCGGGTTCGATTCCCGCATTGGGCACTTTTTTTTTCTGATAAAAAAAATGCTCCGATGGTCCCCGATTCTTACAAAAGTCCAACCCCACCAGCGAGTGCAAGTAACCAAACGGGGCTCTGGCACATTGGTAAGTGCAAAGTCGAACTGCTTTTCACATGTGTAGACATGTGGTGCACTTACAGTAAAAACAATCACCTACTTCTACCTACCATGATTATCATGGCCTGTACCACGTGTACTAGGGATAAGCAAAAGAAAAATCAAATCCATATTATTAAATAAATTGATTTTTATAAATTACTATCCGTTCAATTAGGACAAATCTGTGATCTAAAGTGATTTTATCGTTTTTTTTTTTTTTTTTCAAAATGGTTCACGAATACATGACATTGGCAAAATACTATTGTATTAAAACAGGAAAATAAAATTCCTATCTCAAAAAAAGTATATAAATATATATATTTAATTATGGATTGCTCTATTTTCAATATATATATATATATTTAATTAAAAAGGCATATATTGGATCAAAATATCATTTATTTTACCAATATTTCAGTTGGCTGAACGCCAACCTTTATCAAGGCGCTGAGTTTGTTGTTGACACACATTAAAATGTTATAACACCTTGATAAAGGTTGGCGTTCAGTCAACTCAAATATTGGTAAAATAAATGACATAGTGATTCACTATATGCCTTTTTATATATATACTCTATAAAATATTCTATTATAAAATTATAATTTATAAAACAAGCACACAACTCTTTAAATTCGACCGCCTGATTTCATGGATTTCTCTATATACACTCGTTGTTGTTGTTTTACTTTGGCATTTTACATTTTAATCTATGATTTTTTATAGGGATGATTATACATTTTAATATTCAATATTAGTAAATATTTATATATAAATAGTATAATTAAAAAGACATTTTCAAATATTTTAATTGCAAACACTAATGACAAAACAATTATCTATTATATATGAGATAATTAAAAGAACATTAAGGTAAATTGATTTAATTATACTTCTATATTAACAAATTCAACTAATATCCTATTTAAATGATATAGCTTATTCGATAAATTAGCTATTCTATGGCAAATTCTACGTGGAGAAGTTGTATAAGACCAAAGGGTCATAACAGGGACCTTTGTTGTTGTTACTACTGTTATTCTTGTATGTACCCTACATTTCTGTGCTTGGAGAATCCGTATAAGACTAAATTGTCTTAATAAAGCTTTTTGTTGTTGTTGTTGAATTCAAATTGCTGATTTCTACTGAAGGAAACTGTGTAGCTTACGATATATTTTGTATGCTAAAGGATCGTAAGCTAATTCTATCTTACAATAAAACAACAAAAACAACAAAAAGCCTTTATTTAGGGTCACTGACCCTATACAGGATTCACCAGAGGTATGCATAAGAACAAAGCAGTGAGACAAAGGAAACAATGATATAAACAGAAGAAAAAGAAAAAAAAAACGAAAAAAAAAACAAGAAAGAGGGAAGTAAGAAAAACAACACAAAAAGAGTAGCAGTAAGAAAGTGAGGAGTGAGTGTCACTTGGCCTTCTTCTGAGATATGGACTTGTGGAAACCATAAAACGCCGTAGCAATATACTTATTCTGGGTCATATTGTCAATTATTGATGGAAGTGAAGCACAGAGTTGCCCATCTTACAATAAAACACAGTCTACCAGGATAACAATATTTTATTAAGATTCTCTCAAGCTTTGCATTATATAAGCTGAATGATCCAATACAGTATTAGATCTCTAAATATCGGTCTGATATATTAAATTGGCGAAACCGCTAGGAGCGTTCATCACTGATGAGCCAAGCCCCTTCCTAATACTTTTCATCGCAATCAGGACAGTAGAAGTATTGTGAATCCTTCTACAGGAGTATTAAAACGAAAATAAAATTTATAAATATACTAGCCGAATGACCCGGGTAACGCCCAGGTTTTACCCGATTAAATGTTTTTATTCAAATACTATTCGTTACAATTATAAATTGGCGCCGTGGATGTCACTCTTGTGAAACGTCCCGCTCCAAACTTTGTGTGTTTTTAAAATATAAAAATAAAAATGTACATTTTCACAACGATATTTGAAAATTATATTATTTTGATTTTCAAATACTATTCGTTACAATTATAAATTGGCGCCGTGGATGTCACTCTTGTGAAACGTCCCGCTCCAAACTTTGTGTCTGAGAAGCGATATTTTTATAGAAAGATGATCTGGCTTTTGTTTTCTGCTCGAATGAATGTTTTTCTGTTAGAATTTTGTTCCTGCGTACAAAAAAAAAATTAACTGGTTTCACCCGTGGTCTCTGCTTTTTGGAATTTTTCCCGATATAATTTTGTATCTGATAATCAAACATAATACAGCAATATTGTCATCATCATTTTCTGACTAAAAAAAACAACTATTTTTGCCCAGAACCTGTCAATTTTATTTTTTATTGGCTAGAAATCCGATAAATATCTTTTCCAGAATTTTCTCTATGTCCTGTCAAAACACGTTTTACATGTACATTAGGTCAGCTGATATTACCTCCCATCTTCACGCGCTGCTTGCGAGCGAAAAGGCAACTTTGCAACGCAATTTGCAAATAACTCGAAGAATTTTCGGGATAGAGACCTGAAATTTTCACTATAGGGTTTTCCAGATTCTACTCTATATACTGTTAAAACTTCAGTCAGATTAGTTACGTATTGTGGACGTGTTTAGCCGACATAGATACCCACATACATACATACATACACTGACCTTTATATATATAGGGATAAAGGTGTTCGATAAAGGATGTATTCGCGCATCGATTAGCCTGTACATGGAGATAATTATCTTCAAAATAGAACCTCTCTGTATAAAAGACAATACCTAGTTGTAGAGACAAAGTGACCTTTAAAGAGATGACCTCTCAAAAGAGAATAACTAATGCGTATAAAAATGATAAATTTTTGACGATGATCAGCTGTTCATTGTAGAGAAATTTCCTTCAAATAGAGTTTCTTCTAAAGGAAGTTATACTGTATTTGCATTTAATATTTTTTTTAACAATATAAAATCAGGTTAATTAAAAAAGCGGTATATTGGATTAAAAAAATTATTTACAAACAAAATTTCAGTTGGCTGATCGCCAACCTTTTTCATGGTACAACATCGTATTTATGTAAACAAAAAAAACTTAGCGCTACATAACCAACACAGAGTTTGTTATTTACAAAAATACGTTGTTTTACATTGAAAAAGGTTGGAGTTCATCCAACAGAAATATATGTAAATAAATAATATTTTGATCCAATATATGCTTTTTTAATTAAAGATCTATTTATGTATGTTGTATATATATTTTAACGACACCTGAAAATTATCCCGCATGTGTTTCTTTTAAACGAAAAATCGAAATTTATTTTTAAGGAGAAATAACGATTATTTCTAACCTTTGGGTTAAAATATGAAAGAATGAATTGTGAAGAGTAATGATAAACGGAAAAATAAAAGTGTCCAGGGATTGGAATTGAACCTACAGTGTTTCGCTTACCGGACAGATGCCATGTCCACTAGGCTACCCTGGACATATTTCTCCGTTCGTAAATATTATATAAGATAATTTCTAATACAATATAATGCGGCATGTTTGAGTTTAATTAATTAATTGTTCCCACAGAGTATATGTATGTAAGTTCACAAGTAAATAGGTGCTAACTGTAAGAAGATAAGTTTCTCTTTGTTTACTATGTTATATTTTGTTCTCTCTCTTGTAAATCAATAATGTTTGATTATTCTTCTTGGAATCTGTTTCTTTAAAAGGTCTAAGCAAAGTCAACAATGTATAATTTAAATTATATAATATATAAATACACCTATCCCCCGATTTACACGGTACTTGTTTTACACGTTTTCGCTTTTACACGGTTTTCCAAATAAGTTTTTTTTTATCGCACTATACTAAATGCTACTGTGATTGAACACATGCGCTGTGTACACATCTCACGAGGAATCCTGAGCTTATGTGCTGCCTACATATTTTAACCTGTCAATGCATTTTTATTTCTGTGTACACCTATCCCCCGATTTACACGTTTTTCTCAGGAACGTATCTACCGTGTAAATCGTGGATAGGTGTATCTTAGATCTTTTCAGAAACGCTTCACAGTGTACCGATCAGAATAAACTTTTTACTTAATCGTTTGATTAAATATTTTTTGTTGTCGTTTAAGCTTTATATTGTGGCGAAGAAATAATTAATATTTTATATTTTAGTTTAATTATTTTATGAAAATATTCAACAGATTAAATAAATATATAATACTCTGTTTATGTAAAATAATGATCAAAATATTTCTTTGCTTGCTTGCTCAAGATTCTCTATCTGTGGATAGTTTTGTTGAATTGTTGATAATTGTCGACTCGTCGTACTGACGTCATCAATAAATACACTTGCATCTTAAGATATAAAATGACCTGATTTCTACGCTACAATATCAAACCATGCTCTGTTACCATTTGTTGAGTTTGCTTAGACTTTTTTAAAGATGCTGATTCCAAGAAGATTATTCAAACATTATCGATTTACAAGAGAAGAAATAAAACTCATAACATAGTAACCAAAGAGAAACATTTTTTCTTTACAGTTAGGGCCTAATTACTTGTGATTTTACATATATACTCTGTGAAAACAATCAATTAATTAAACCTAAAATATATAAGAATAAGAAATTCAAAACTTTATCCACATTATAAAAATTTCTACACCTCAATAGAAACAGAATGCTACCTAACCGATGATTTCCCATTACCAGTCAAACGATGCATAGCTCAATCGAGAATACTATTTAGAGTCTTAAAAAAACCACGTTCTGACGTTTGAGACCAAAAACTTAATATGTACACTGTGTGACAAGGAAATTACTGAAGAACTCCCCCATTACCTGCTTAATTGTACAGCCCTTGATACAGAGAGGAAGGCCCTATATCAACAAATTAAATGTACCAACATTTCACCCTACGTATTGCTTTCAAAAATTTCAGCAAACAAATCTAAGGCAATATCTTACTATAAATTTTTAGATCATCATGATGTAAGGACCAATCAATAAGTGAATAAATTTGAGACGAAGAGTAAAGCCAGTTCAATTTCTATGTAAATAACACAAGATGATTATTACCTTACCCAATTGGGAGAATCTGTATGGGACAAGTCCTTAATAAAGGCTTTGTGTGTGTGTACTTAAAATAGATATACAAAAATAGTTACTCTGTTTTTAAAGATAAAATAACGTTTATATAGAAGAGAAAAAACCTGAAAATTCACTTCTAGAGTAGAACCATCAATAAATATAAGAAATTTTAAACGTTTTGAGAAAATCGTTGCTTCGGTTTATTTGAAAAAAAAAATCAATATTTAATATATATTCGAGAAAAAGTAAAAATGTTTCAACTATTTCAAATATATAAAATTTTCTTTTAATATATATATTCCTTAATATATATATTTCCATGTATTTTGTAGAAAAGGAATTCTATTCTTTACATAGAATTTTGGAATTATTTGGAAAATAAATTCCTTTTGAATTATAGTCAATTTTATTTATAGAAATTTATTTAAAATTGCAGACGTGACTTGAATACTTTACAGAAAATTATTCTGACTCTAATAAATCAATATGTATAGTAACGAATTCACTTTTTTTGAGATCGCATATAAAAAAAAGTGTAAAAATTAAATTTTCCATATTTGGTGGTATCTCACTTTTTAATTTATTCAACTTTTACATATATAAACTCTAAAGCATTTATTAAGACCTTTCAAACTTATAAAACATTCTTCTGAGAAGTAAAAAAAGTTTTAAAATAGAAATCGAATTTTAAATTTCTTACATATAAGGAGATATTTGTTATTCTTCTTAGAAAAATACAATCATGGACAAAATATAAGAAAGTTGCACCTTTTACCATGTATATAGGGATTCAGACAATAACTCTGAAAGATATTACAGTAACTTTTATTTTGAAGACATACCAAATAACCAAGTGTGAAAAAATTGCCTCTGTCTCCTCTTTAAAATATATATATATCTCTATATATATAAAAGTCAATTTCTGTCTGTCTGTCTGTCTGTTTCGCGATAAACTCAAAAACTACTGAACCAATTGGTACCAAATTTTGCATGTCGCTTTTTATAAACCTGAGGAAAATTTTCGGTTACATTTTGATTATTATTTTTGGCTATTTCTTTTTATCATTTGAAGAACTTTTTTTTTTACGCGAAGTAATCCGGAATGAAATGAATACCCAAATATGGCCATTTTTTATAAGCATCGGTGGTTCAGTGGTAGAATGCTCGCCTGCCACGCGGGCGGCCCGGGTTCGATTCCCGGCCGATGCATTTTTTTTTTACAATTTTTAAAACTCATTTATATTATATATAATATAAATATATATTATTATATCAACTATATTAATTAAATCAAATACCTAAACACTAATATAATACAATTTTTGCCATCACACACACTTTTTCCCTGTAGTGTATGTGTTACTTCTGTATTGCTATTCTATGGCACTTCTAATATTTATTATTGATGTACTTTCAGTATGAAGGAAATTGCAATCGGGGGAATTCTCGGTCGAAGCCGGGTCATACGTCTAGTATATATATATATATATATATATATAAAGAAAACCGGATACATCAAATAATTTCCACTTCCTTAAGTTAAGGAGTGTATGCGTATGTCCATGAGTATATACCATTTTTAATACAAGGATAACATTCTGTTAGTTACTCCTTTTAATTTTTAGTTTTATTGTGTAACTTACAATTATAAATAACACATTATGCTTCTTTTATTAATATAAATAAGCTTCTGAGCAAAATCTCTCTTCTATGAGGAGAAGAGTTTTCATTTTTATCTGTAGATTATTGTCGCTAGAGACCCGTTGGCGATTCTCCACCAAACTCTGCAGCGGTGACGCCATGTACATTGTACATAGTTCTGAAAATATAGCAATCCATACTTAAATCATTAGATAGTAAAAAAGCATATACAGTGGTACCCTCGACATACGAGCGCCCCAACATACGAGTTTTTCGAGATACGAGCCGACGAGCAAGTGATTTTTTGCTTTGAGTTACGAGCGAAATTCGAGATACGAGTTCGGTTCGGTAGTGTTGAAGATATTAATCTGTGATTTTAAATGGAAATTTTGTAAGGGGGAATTTGCTTCGAGATACGAGTAATTCAAGATACGAGCAAGGTTGCGGAACGAATTAAACTCGTATGTCGAGGTACCACTGTATTGGATTGAATAAAATATTTATTTGCCAATATTTCGGCTGGTTGAACGCCAACCTTTATCAAGGCATTACATTTTTGTATAGACAAACGCAGCGCCGCATAGTTTTATAATATCACAGTCAATAATTATTTTTGTTAATAATAATTTTTTATGCACAAATTTCTCCCACCTACTTTGTATTTTAAATGATTTCAACTGTGATATTATAACACTATGCGGGGCTGAGTTGGTGTATACAAAAATGTAATGCCTTGATAAAGGTTGGCCTTCAGCCAGTCGAAATATTGGCAAATAAACATTTTATTCACTCCAATATATGCCTTTTTATTATCTAATTGTACATAGTGTTATGTATATATATAAATATTATTTTAAAACAATAGTGCATACTGTACACTTTTGCATATATTGACAAGATGTAAACAATTAAGTAGTTAATTAAGTAATTAAAACTATTAAAAGTGTTAATAGTAATCTTTCGGTAATTTTTCAGCAGATCTATCTAGACAGTGCGGTTCAACACATACAATATATATAAAAATTTCCTGAAGTAAAAAAGTTTAAAAATATACACACACATGGACAAAACTTTAGGAAGTTGTACCTTATAACATGTATATCGGGATTCAGACAATAACTCTGAAAGATATTACAGTAACCTTTATTGACGACATACCAGATAACCAAGTGTGAACAAAATTGCCTGTCTCTGAAAAAAAAAAGGACGACTGGCCACATCAAAAACTTTCTACTCCTTTAAGATTTGTCCATGAGTGTATATCATTTTTAATACAAGAAAAACTTTTATTTAGTTACTCCTTATAATTTTTAGTTTTAATGTGGAACTTAAATTATAAATATAACACATTATACTTATTTTTATTGATAAAAATAAGCTTTTGAGCAAATTCTCTTTTCTATGAGGAGAAGAATTTACATTTTTATCTATATCTTATTGTCGCTGGAGACCCGCTGGTGATTCTCCTCCATGCTCTGCAGCGGTGGAGTCACGTACCTTGGACAAAGTATTATGCAAATATCTAATTGTGATTTAAAAAAAACAATAGTGTTTACTGTACACTTTCGCATATATTGACAAGATGCAAATAATTAAGTAGTATTTCTCCTTAAAATAAATTTCGATTTTTCGTTCAAAAGGAAAAAAAAAAGTCCAGGGGAGCCTATAGTGGACATGGCATCTGCCCGGTAAGCGGAACACTGTGGGTTCGATTCCCATTCCTGGACACTTTATTTTTCCGTTTATCATTACTCTTCACAATTCATTCTTTCATACTTCATTCCTAAGGTTAGTAATAATCGTCATTTCTCCTTAAAATAAATTTCAATTTTTCGTTTAAAAGAAACACATGCGGGATATTTTTCAAATGGCGTTCTACAATCATAAGCCGCATTATATTGTATTATAAATTAAGTACTTAATTAAGTAAATAAAACTTTTAATAGTGTTAATATCAAGCTTTCGGTAATTTCTCAGCAGGTATATCTTCACAGTGCGGTTCAATTCATACAATATATTATTTTTAATATAGATATAATTCCGAATAAATTCTCACAATATGATTGCCGTTTTGGTCAAAAAAGGAGGTTATATTGTTCGGCGAATATTTCTATTCTTAACCCCAAGAGTTCTGTATTTTATTCCACAATATGGAATCTCAAATATTTATCTTTATTACAACTTCTGATATATATATTGTAGGGGAATACTGTCCTATATATTGCTGATATTAAATTTCTCTTAAATATTCCTCTTATCTCGACGTATTTTTTGGCTATGTCTGAATGGAAGAAGAATAAAATGGGGATAAAGCATTTATTTATTTTATTTTCTGTGGGTAAATAGTTTATATTTTTATTTGGAGATTGTCTGTTGGAAATAGATAATACTCTAGATATTAGTTAGAATTGGTAAGTACATTTTTTTAATGGAAAATATCGTTTTTATTATTTTATTCTGTGAATATACTCATGAATAAAACTTGAGGAATTTTTTATTATTCCTGGGTAGTTAGCGTTCTCTGTGCTCCAGGAACCTGGGTTATAAATATCTTTCATATTGTATTATTATAGGAAATTGTTTTTTTATATGAAGACACATAAAGCATTTAGTGTATATTTTTATTAATGAAAATTTCGAATTTCTCGGTCATTTTTTATGGATTGAGTAATAAAATACAATATATACATATTATATAATCTAAAAACTCATATATTTATATATTTAAAAATATATATATTTTATTTTATTCATTGATAATTTTACTTTTGTTATCGTAGTTTTTAGAAAGACTTTCAATTTTGTTGTAAATATGGGTAGTTAACATATCTATCCTTTTAAATCACTAATATAGGATTGACTTTATAAATTCTATATAATGTGAAAATAACTAATGTGTAATATTTCCTCAAGTAATTGAAAATAAAAGCTGCTTGATGGTAAATAATTATATTTTTCTTATCACGACTGCACCTCAACCCTTTATCTTATCGATCCTTTGTCTTATCAACCTTTTATCTAACAACAAACAATTACTCATAACATATATATATATATTTTCTAATTAAAAATGCTTTTAGTAATATATATTATTATATTAAAATACAGAACAGCGCTCAAGGTCTATCAATATATATTTTTTTAATTTTTGTGTAAAAATATCAATATAGTGGAAAATGACAGCACACACATAATATGCACTCATAGATGAAACATAAGGAAAGGGAAAGTCTTCAATATCACCGGTCGTCTTTTTTTTTTTTTTTTTAGAGACAGAGGCAATTTTGTCCACACTTAGTTTTCTCTCAATAAAGATCACTGCAATATCTTTCAGAGTTATTGTCTGAATCCCGATATACATGTTAAAAGGTACAACTTCCTTAAGTTTTGTTCATGAGTGTATCTTTCAGAGTTATTGTCTGAATCCTGATATACATGCTAAAAGGTACAACTTCCTCAAGTTTTATCCATGAGTGTATTTTTCAGAGTTATTGTCTTAATCCCGATATACATGGTAAAAGGTACAACTTCCTTAAGTTTTGTTCATGAGTGTATCCTTCAGAGTTATTGTCTGAATCCCGATATACATGTTAAAAGGTACAACTTCCTTAAGTTTTGTCCATGAGTGTATCTTTCAAAGTTATTGTCTGAATCCCGTTATAAATGCTAAAAGGTACAACTTCCTTAAGTTTTGTTCAAGAAAGATGGAGAAAGAGAGAGTGGATATTAATTATATAATTATAACTTCAATAAGTTTTTATTACAGAGCATGAAACCTCAAGACATCTACTGATCGATTGCCCAGCATTTCAAGATTATAGAATGAACTAGTTGTTTGTGAACTTAACGATTTGATTTCCGATAAAAAATCATATTTAAAGTTTAATTCATTTTGTAAATACATTCTAAACTTTCTACAAAATCTGGATCTCTAATGTTTTCATGCGTTGAATAATGTAAATAACTTATGTAAATAAACGTTTCTCCTTGTTTGGCGCAAGTATCCCTTGCGGAATATAGCGCTTTGGAAATAAAATAATTGTAATTGTAATGAAAGCGCTAAATATAATAAAATAATTTCAAATATATAAAAATGTACTTTTATTATAAACAACGTTACTAAATTAGAATCGTTTGACATCTAAAAGAAAAAATAAATTTAAATATAGCGTCATATGCTTTTAATTGGATATTTTTAGATACAAAAAAAGAACCTTTTTTATTTTAAACCTTTTCTGTCATTTTATTTACTTTCCATATAATAAACGGTTGTAATTAATTTTTTTTTTTATTTTTTTTTACACACAAGTGAACTCTCAGGAGAGAGTCTTAACAAATAGAATGTTTGTGGAATAAATTTTCACACTGTAGTTTTTTTCCAACTAAATGTATTTCAACAAATCATACTCTTTTTTGATTAGAAAAAATGAAATGTATTTGGAATAATTAAATTTCTTATCTCGTTACTTCTCTCTTCCTCTCTACAAAGACTCATTTATAACCAAGGGCCTATCCGAATTCTGTTATCAAATCGTTAAGTTCACAAACAACTAGTTCATTCTATAATCTTGAAATGCTGGGCAATCGATCAGTAGATGTCTTGAGGTTTGTTTCTCAATATCATAGATGGCAATTGAATTTATAAATTCTTATCATATTTTAACCATTATTTTATTATTATCATTTATAGTTATCTTTATTATTATATCTATTCATTTAATCACACCAATCTAAATACAGAATTCTTAGAAAATCTCTCCAAATCCATCTGTAATTGAAGTTATTTCAGATACGGATGATTCTTTCCAAAATTAAAAAAATATATATATATTTCTACTGCCCTTTTACTGCAATGATAAATTAATGGGAGGGCCTGGCTCATCAGTAGTGAACTCTCCCAGCAGTTTCACCAGTTTAATCTGTGTCTAAAATAGTTACAATTTTCTATAACAGATGGCGCACTAATGCATCATATCTCATTATTATCTCTTTACAGTCACTTTCATACTAATATATTTACTGACAATTTTAAATCTAAATTATCAGTCTTTAACTATTTTGAATAATATTATTTTTTTATTAGTTAATATAATAGATTATAGAAAGTGAGAGAGAGATTGAGATTGAAACTGATTTATTATAAAGTCCATATAAGATTATATAAGGTTAAATACATAAAATGAATAAATAAGATTAAAAATGATAGATATATGAATAAATAGATATAAATAGATAAAATAATTGATAAATATACATATATATATATATATATATATATATATATATATATATATATATAGTGTAGAAACTATATAACAAAATTATAACAGTGATTCTAATTTTAAAACTTAAGGAGCAAACTGATAATAATGATAACTTATATCAGTTAGATTTGATTAGATTAGCAAGCTAAATCTAAATTAATTATAATAATAAATAGTTATTTAATTTTATAGTCCAGTTTTGTATTAAGATTATCTTCACTATTATGATCATTTAAATTCAAATTATAAAATTTGTAAAATGTTATTAATTTGTAGATAGAGAGAGAAAAAAAAAAAATCCTTTACTTCTACTACATCCTCAAGTTAATTATATATTTATAATTAATAACAATAAAAATTAACAAAGTAACGTCTATTACATCGGCTTTTACACGTCATTCAGACATACTCTAATCCTATATATAGAATAATCGAAGAGAGAATATATATAATAGTTAGAAAAAAGAGAGAAAGACAGAACCATGCACTTTTAATCAAACTAATAATAAGGAAAAAAATATATATATAAAATATATATTATATATATAAAATAAATAAAATATAAAAATATTAACACATAAAATCCGGTTTAAAAGAGATCTATGACATAATAAAGAAGGGGTGAAATGTCGCTGGAATTTTTATCTGAAGATCCCCGTTCCAGCAGATCTCTTTTTCCAATTCATTTCAATTTAAAGTCTTTTGTGTATGTCTGGTCTACCATTAGGGTTTCAAAACATAATATCCAAACTTATAACAAATGTTAATTCATACTATAGATATATTACTAAATACAACTATTTATAATCATATTATAAAATAAAAAAACCTTTAAAAATCTTTAAAAAAAAAAAAGGATAAAATATAAAATTATAAAAATATATATATATATATACTAACAATCTTATCTACCTTCTTTATAAAACTCTTTTTTTTTTTCCTTATTATTAGTTTGATTAAAAGTGCATGGTTCTGTCTTTCTCTCTTTTTTCTAACTATTATATATATTCTCTCTTCGATTATTCTATATATAGGATTAGAGTATGTCTGAATGACGTGTAAAAGCCGATGTAATAGACGTTACTTTGTTAATTTTTATTGTTATTAATTATAAATATATAATTAACTTGAGGATGTAGTAGAAGTAAAGGATTTTTTTTTTCTCTCTCTATCTACAAATTAATAACATTTTACAAATTTTATAATTTGAATTTAAATGATCATAATAGTGAAGATAATCTTAATACAAAACTGGACTATAAAATTAAATAACTATTTATTATTATATATATATATATATATATATATATATATATATATATATATATATATATATATATATATATATATATATATATATATATATATACAAGGTCTTCATTGGTGTCGCCCACCGCGAGAAAGACTCCGCCACCGATGGACTGCGAGAGAGAGAGAGAGAGAGAAATGTGTTTTTGAAACACA